GCGCTCCCGCAATGGCCTACCGCTGCAAACCCTCCAGAGCCAGGCTGCTCGGGTGTGCATGGGTGCCTGCAGTGGAGCGGCACTGGCTTGGATGCCCATTTGTGCCCTTACTTTTCTGTTCTGTGTGTATTTTTCCTCTTCCATTTTTTTCTTATCTTGGTTGTGACACTGGGTCAACTTCTTAATATGCTAACCTGAAAAAGATTATCAGAGGTGAAGATTCTCCTTGTTCTTCAAAGCTTCATACTTATTTGGCTGACCCTGCTTGTAGCTTCAGCACTTGTACGCTTTTCTGTCTCTGACTAAGGAAAGCACGCATAATCTGGCTCAGACACTGAGCCCACAGGGAACCGCCACCGGCCCTGCTTGGGTGTTTCTTTGTTTGTGACAGTCTGATAAGGACCTTAGGTCTCACAGCATGAACCTCCTGAAATCTGCCTGGCACAACCACATGTGGATTTTGGTGCTTTCCCGACTGTCTTGGTATAAAGGTAAACAATCCTGTTGCCAGCCCATGACAGCATGTCAAATGCTGGACCATTCTGAGTGCCTCTGAGCACCAGAGTGAAGATTCTTAGTTTTGTCTTCCCTTTTCTGACCTTTGTCTTTTTGTTGTTTAAGATAGGGTCTCAGCCGGGTGCGGTAGCACACGCCTGTAATCCCAGCACTCTAGGAGGCAGAGCAGGTAGATCGCTGTGAGTTTGAGGCCATCCTGGTCTACAATTGGAGTCCAGGTCAGCCACGGCTACACACAGAAACCCTGTCTCAAAAAAGGGGGGTTTCTCATGTAGTCCAGGTTGGCCTAAAACTCTATGTAGATGACTTATTACTGACACTCCTGCTTCAGCCTCTCCAATATCAACACTGCAGACGAGCACCGCCACGGCTAGCTGTGCACAGTGCTGGGGTCCCAACCTGGGCTTTCTACCAACTTGGTGACATTACAGTCCTTTCACTTTAAAAAACAAGCTCTTTCTCTGTAGCCCAGGCTGGCCTCAAACCCCCAGCAATCCTGTCTCTGCTTCCCAAGAGCATCACCACCGCCCGGCTGTGTTCCTTACTGCAGTAGGAAAATCTTATCTAAAAACTAGGAGGGGGTGGGGCAGGCTAAGAGCCCGTACAGCGTTTTCAGAGTCCCCAAGTCCAGCACTTGTCTCAGACAGCTTACAGCTGCATGTAACAGTAGCAGTTTCTGAGCTCTGTAGTCACATGCTCATACCCATACACATGCAAATACATACACATAATTTAAAAATATTTATTTTACATGTACAAATGTTTTTTCCTGCATGAGGTATACGTACCACATGAATGTCTGGTGCCTGAGGAGAACAGGGTGTCAGATTCCCTGAAACTGCAATGTCAGCTGGTTAGGAGCCATCATGTGGGTGCGGGGAACCAAACCTGGGTCTTCTGGAAGAGCAGCCTAACCTATTAACCAATGAGCCATATCTCCTAAAAGTAAATAAACACATTTATTTAAATAAAATTTAGAAGGGCTGGGTTTAGCTCTGGCAGAGCATTAGGGTAGCTGGGTGCTTGAAGTCTAACATGCCTGAGGCCCTGGATTCAGCACCTCTCCTGGGGGTTAGGGGCCAGTCCTTACTCCCCTGGCAAATAGCCAAACAAAAGAACTCTCTGAAGTGTTTATAATCCCCTTCAGTTCAGTCTCTTTAGTCTCCTGAGCAGTGCCTGTGCATTGAGCGCGATCACGACAACTTAATAGAAGGTCCACATCATTACTTCTCCTGTGCTTAAGAAGAGCCTGTCGAGTATAATCTCATAGTTAAGTATTTCCTGTTGTTTGGCCCTGTGCTTGGCATGCATTATCTCATTGTATCTCAAAAATGACCTGCTGCAAGACAGAAGCTGAGGCATGAAAGGTCACACAGGGCAGGCCCTGGCTGGTGGCCGAGCACCTGTGCACTTTGCTACCTCTGTCCTTGTGGCTTTGTGAAGCCGGGTTTTGTTGGGGGGGGGGTTCTTGTTTTGTCTGTTGTTTTGATCTTCGCCTGCCCTGTTTTTCTTGGATGCGTTTGGCGAGCACGCTACTACAGTGCTCCACCCCAGTGTCCAAGGCTTTCTTTTCTTAGGCAGAGACTGGGCAGTGGGAAGACATCTGCCTGTGCCAGGAGGCAGTAGGATTAAAGGCATCTTTAATCCCAGCCTCTGAGAGGCGGATCTCTGTGAGTTCCAGACCAGCCTGGTCCACAGAGCTGATTCTGAGACAGCTTGACTTAAAAAACAAAAACAAAAAATCTGCCCTGCTGTCGTCAGCAGCTACTCAGTGGTTCTTCCCTGTTCCGGCCACTTGACTTGGCTCAGGTGGAGGACAGATCAGAAATGGTGTGCTCCGTTATTCAGTGCGATGAGAGGGGAGGGGTCACCAGGAGGGAGCAGGCGGCAGACCACCCACCACCTCCTTACCCAACCAAGGGAGCCCTCTGCCTCCGGAAGTGTCAGCAGAGTTAGGGACCGGGGCCACTCACCCTTGTGTTAGTCTCTCAGATCTACCACAAAGCAAGCACTTGGCCACCACCATGGGAATCAGAACGTCATCACGGATCCCTTTGTATTCCTGACCCTGTAACTCAGATGGTGTCAAGGTGGAGAGGGAGCCCCCATCTTTGAGGACAACAGAAAGCCACCACCAAAATCAATTCGGGAGAAGGGAATCCTGGGTGGGGGTGAAGTGTGGCTCAAGCTGAGTCTGTGTAAACAGCCCCGGGTCAGTCCCTGGAAACGCAGGAGTTTCTTTACGGCCAGGCTGCTCTCCTGTGACTCTGTCTTACCTTAAAGAGGGTCCAGGAGGTGCTTCACTCATCAGAGCATGGGGGGTGCAGGAAGCGGCCTCAGTTCATTTTGCTGGAGCTGCTTTTCTTAGCAGTGCTGCCGCCAGGGTAAGTGTTACCTATTGAGTGCCCTTTCACCCCACGTTTGTTTAGGCTACAAAGAACTAAGACTGGTTATCTTGACACAGATCAGCCTGGGTGGGGTAAACTGAGGCCACACTGTCTTCTAGACCCTGAGGACCCTCCAGTACCTCCAGAGCCACAGCTCCCAGTCTAGTTGAGCAGAAGCTCGTGCTGTGTATATTTGAGTTTGAGCACTGCTGGGCTCATCTGTGTTTTCCCAGCTGTAGGAGGAGGATCTTGGGTGCCCCTGGAGTGTGCATGCTCCCCTGTTAACCTGCTACTACCACTCAATCTGCATGTCTTGGGTATATATCCTAGCAAGTTCCTGGTTCAAATTAAACGTTTGTCAAGAATAGCTTCGTTATTCATTTATAACTGAGGTCTGTTAATAGTAAGTGAAGTATGTGATTTGAAGCTGTGGCTTGTGTGCCTGTCAGTCAGTCACCACCCCAGTCTGTCTTTCTCCTCTGTCCTTTGTGCCTCCCACCCCCAGGCAACCATTGATCTGTTTTCTGGCACTATCATACATGTACTTTCCAGAATTTTTATACAGGTGAAATTGAATAGTCTGGCCTTTTGATTATATGGCTTCTTTCACTCAACAGTTATTTTTGAGGTTTATCAGCTCTTTTTTCTTCCTTTCTTTCTAAATGTATCATATAACCTAGGATGGCCTTGAACTTCTGATCTTGTTGCTTTTACCTCCCAAGTACTGGTGCTAACATGTACCCCTATGCCCATGTTTAATGTGTTTGCTTGGTTTGGTGGTTGTTTGTTTAGTGGGGGTCAGTGCTGGAGTCTTGAATACTAGCAAGCACTGTACCACTTTTTTTTACAGCCTTATCCAAGGATTATAGATGCGCATACTGTATCCAGCTAATGTCTAAGTTTAAGCATAGCTGTGTGTGTGTTGTGTATTTAAGTCCAGCCTTGCTGGGCTCGGTGGTACATACTTGTAATCCCAGCACTCAGAGAGGCAAAAGCAGGTGGATATCCATTAGTTTGAGGCCAACCTGGTATACAGAGTGAGCTTCAGGACAGCCAAGGCTACACAGAGAAGCCATGTCTCAAAAAACAAAAACCAACCCCCCCCCAAAAAAAAAAAAAAAAAAAAAAAAGTCTGGCCTAAAACTGATAGCAAATCCTCATGTCTCTTTTTGGCTGCCTGAATTCCTAGGGTATTAGTTAAGAGCCACCAAGCCTGACCCATGACCCATTTTCAATTACAGTTTGGACTAAAATAATTTATTCAATATTTATTACATATGGATATCCAGTCATTCAGAATTATTTGGTGGAAACTCTCCTTTTGCCCCCAAATTACTCTTGATTCTTTGTCACAAGTCACCTGTCTTTCTGCATATTAAAAAACAATCTCGGAAGACATCGCTTTGAAACAGGTAGCGACCACAGGGGCAAGCAGCAAGGTCCCAGAGCCTGAGCACAGGTTTGAAGCTGAGAATGGTGAGAGGAGAGGACGGGTGTGCTACCCCAAGCTTCTCCATAGTGCTTACTCTTTCCCACAACTTTGGTCAGAGGAGGCTGGTCAGTAGTCCCTAGCCAGCACTCAGGAGCTCAGGACAGGTGTTCATCCATGGCACGGGGTGGTGCTCTCCTCCCCTGGAGTGCTGGCTTTGCTGGGATGCTGTACCAGCGGCCATACTGAGGCGGCCCACAGTCAGTGACAGCATCTTGGCTTCATGGACCACAGGAGGTTCTGGTCCAGCCTTTGTCTAACGTGAACCGATGGTGAGTCCTGGCAGCCATAGAGCAGGCAGCCTGCTGCTGTGCTCCTGCTATCTGCTGCGTGCCTCATGGAAACTTGCTCCTAGAAGCTACCCTAGCCAGAGCTACCCTAGCCATGCGATCTCTATAATGGCAGGAGCGTTCCTGGGTCTAACATGAGCCCTTTCCCAAGGACTGGGGAGATGGGACAAGTTAGCCCCCAGATGCTACTGTGTACTTGTGGTACATTCCTGGGTGGACAGGGAAGCATTGACCTTGGGCACTTCGTGCTGTCCCAGCCCAATTTAGTGCAGTGTGTCAGAACACACACCTAACTGCACAATGGTCTCTGTTTCTTAGGCGCTCCTGGCAGGCATGCGCAACCGTGAGAACAGCTCACCCTGCCAGGGCAATGGCGAGCCTGCCAGCAGGGGCAGGAGTGGGAGCTCTGTGTGGCCTGCTGAAGAAGAGCCTTCCAATGAGACCACCACGCCTTCCTACAAGAAGCCTCTGTACGGCATCTCCCACAAGATCATGGAGAAGAAGAACACGCCCTCGGGGGACCTGCTCAGCCCCTACGAGCTCTTTGAGAAGGCAAATTCCAGCAACAGCCCCTCTCCTCTGCGCCTGCTGAATGAGTCTCAGAAGCGGGACTGTGGTGCCGGGGTTGCCGCCGACGGGGACCCCAATATCTACTTCCTGATCCAGAAGATGTTCTACATGCTCAACACGCTCACATCTAACATGTCCCAGCTTCACAGCAAGGTGGACCTGCTCTCCCTCGAGGTGAGCCGCATCAAGAAGCAGGTGAGCCCTTCCGAGCTGGTGGCCAAGTTCCAGCCTCCCCCGGAGTACCAGCTCACGTCTGCCGAGCTGAAGCAGATCGTGGAGCAGAGCCTGTCCTGCGGAGACCTGGCCTGCCGCCTGCTGGTGCAGCTCTTCCCGGAGCTCTTCAGCGACGTGGACTTCTCCCACGGCTGCAGTGCCTGTGGCTTCGCCGCCAAGCGGAAGCTGGAGTCTCTGCACCTCCAGCTGATCCGCAGCTACGTGGAGGTCTACTACCCCGCTGTGAAGGACACAGCTGTGTGGCAGGCCGAGTGCTTGCCACAGCTGAATGACTTCTTCAGCCGCTTCTGGGCCCAGCGGGAAATGGAAGACGCCCAGCCGGGCGGCCAGGTCACCAACTTCTTTGAAGCAGACCAAGTGGATGCCGGCCACTTCCTGGACGGCAAGGACCAAGAGGAAGCTCTGTCTGTGGACCGCAGCAGCACCATCGCCTCGGACCATGTGGTGGACACACAGGACCTCACCGAGTTCCTAGACGAGGCCTCCTCTCCGGGGGAGTTTGCGGTGTTCCTCCTGCACCGGCTCTTCCCGGAGCTGTTTGACCACCGCAAGCTGGGCGAGCAGTACAGCTGCTATGGCGATGGTGGCAAGCAGGAGCTGGATCCCCAGAGGCTGCAGATCATCCGCAACTACACGGAGATCTACTTTCCTGATATGCAGGAGGAGGAGGCGTGGCTGCAGCAGTGTGCCCAGCGCATCAACGACGAGCTAGAGGGCCTGGGGCTAGAGGGGGGCAGTGAGGGTGAGGCCCCACGGGACGACTGCTACGACTCCTCCAGCCTGCCAGACGACATCTCGGTGGTCAAGATAGAGGACAGCTTCGAAGGCGAGCGGCCTGGCCGGCGCTCCAAGAAGATCTGGCTGGTGCCCATTGACTTTGACAAACTGGAGATCCCACAGCCTGACTTCGAGGTGCCAGGCTCAGACTGCCTGCTGAGCAAGGAGCAGCTGCGCAGCATCTACGAGAGCAGCCTGTCCATTGGCAACTTTGCCTCCCGCCTGCTGGTGCACCTGTTCCCGGAGCTCTTCACCCACGAGAACCTGCGCAAGCAGTACAACTGCAGCGGCTCGCTGGGCAAGAAGCAGCTGGACCCCGCCCGCATCAGGCTGATCCGCCACTACGTGCAGCTGCTCTACCCGCGAGCCAAGAACGACCGCGTCTGGACTCTGGAGTTCGTGGGCAAGCTGGACGAGCGCTGTCGGCGCAGGGACACGGAGCAGCGGCGCTCCTACCAGCAGCAGCGCAAGGTCCATGTGCCTGGCCCTGAGTGCCGGGACCTAGCCAGTTATGCAATCAACCCCGAGAGGTTCCGAGAGGAGTTTGAGGGGCCCCCGCTGCCTCCTGAAAGGAGCAGCAAAGACTTTTGCAAAATACCCTTGGACGAGCTGGTGATCCCCTCGCCCGACTTTCCGGTGCCTTCCCCCTACCTGCTGTCAGACAAGGAGGTACGCGAGATCGTGCAGCAGAGCCTGTCGGTGGGCAACTTCGCCGCCCGGCTCCTGGTCAGGCTCTTCCCTGAACTCTTCACAGCCGAGAACCTTCGACTGCAGTACAACCACTCCGGGGCTTGCAACAAGAAGCAGCTGGACCCCACGAGGCTGAGGCTCATCCGCCACTACGTGGAAGCTGTCTACCCCGTGGAGAAGATGGAGGAGGTGTGGCACTATGAATGTATACCTAGCATCGACGAGCGGTGTCGCCGCCCCAACAGGAAAAAGTGCGACATCCTCAAGAAAGCCAAGAAAGTGGAGAAGTGACAGGGCCAGAACTGCCCAGGAACTTGGGCCACCGCAGGCTGCGCAGTGGGTGTCCTTGGGACTGAGCGTTCTCTCGGGGCTCGTGTACGGTATCCACAGACAGGCACCTTATGTCAGTGGGGAGAGGTTTCCTACATTTGCACACGTAAACACCTACCCAGCCACAAGAAAGAAGCCTTGAATTCCGTCTCTTGTATTCATGCCTTTGTTCTGTGTTCCCTGGTGGCACAGCCAGAGTTTGGGGGTAGCCAAGCTGTGAAATCAGAGAATCGGTAGGGTAGGGTCCCTTCTCAGGGCTGGGGCGCCTTCCCTAATTCTTACAGTTCAAAACACAAATGTAGAGTAGATGTGGCCCACAGCTCCAGGCGGAGGCGGGTGGACCTCTGCGAGCGTGAGGCCAGTGTAGTCCACCTGGTCTATACCAGGGCTGCATCATGAGACGTTGTCTCAAAAGCGACAAAATGCAAGCTGAGCAACTTGTTTCTCTCCCCGGGTTTTACAGCTTCCATTTTTATCTTTTTTTTTTTTTTTTTAATTAAATGAAACCATTTTAAAGAAGATCATTGGGCTCTTTGGGAGCCATTTTATTAGGGAAAAAAAAACTTAAATATTTGAGATGAGATGCTCTAAGATTACTTCGGTTGCCAGGATTTTTAAAGATGATTTTAGATTTATGCTTTTTTTTTTTTTTTTTCTTTTTTAAAGAAATGCCATGTTCAGGCATTCTGGATAACCGGCTTCAGGTGGCATAGTGACTGGTTTACTAATCCTGTGTTTGACATCTGATTTTGGAAGAGTCCAGAGGCCTCTTGGATTCAGCAGACAGGATGGGATAGAAGTAGTGTGTAGCCCTTCTGCTCTATGTGAGTTTCCTTTCTGCTGTGGTCCCCAGAAAGGTTACCTGTGGCTCAGCCTGCCTGCCACTGCGATGTGGTGCTCACTGTGTAGACGAGAACACTGGAAGATGATATGAATGTAGATAGAGGTGGAGGCACAGTTCTTATGGTCTTCATGCGAGCTGTGTCCTTCCGTAGCCCTGTCCCTTCTCCACACATCGCTGCTGGCTTGGAGGGACAGACACATTGGGACGCAATGTGTAGGGACATTTTTGTGTGATTTATGGGTGGGCTTCTCTTGGGTTCACCAAGAACTGTTTACTTTCCCCGTATTTGTACAAAGCCCATGTCCCCAGACCTCAGTGTTAGCTCCTCCCACGAACAGCATGGCCTTGAACCTCCAAAGCCCAGGCTCTTTCGCAGGTGTTGGAAGGACCCAAACCATCTTAAATGAAGCGCCCATGCCCCTTCCCAGCCCCTCAGACCCTTTTCCCTCAAATCTTCCAGGAAGTTCTGCCTCCCTCCCCTGGCCCATCCCTAGCATGGAGGTACACACCTCTATGTGCCCCTCCCCCACTGGGGCCAGATGCCTAAGAAGGAAAAGAAACAGTGTTTCTCAAACTGAATTCATCTGATCATTGACCTAAAGATTGAGTTGTCCAGGGTGGTCATAAAACCCTATTATGGGACATTACAGATGTGATAACTTAATGGCTTAATATGTTGCTACCTTAATATGCAGAAATGATAGAAATAATCTATGAATTTTCTCGTACCGATAAGAACTTTAGTTCTAGAAGACAATATGATGTAATTTTGCATGTACCCAGTGGCCATTTAAAAGAAAAGTTCTGAATACTATGAAGCTTCTATTCATTGGCATTTTCATATTATTTATGCTGTAACTGTAAACCTAAATTATTGACATTGGAAGTGCCCAGTGTGGCCTTCTGTCAGTGCCCACACCCGCATCTCCTTACTAAAAAGTGAGATGAGGACTCCACAGACAGCAAGGCAGCCTTGTGCCCAGAAGTACCGGCAGCCAGAAGAATCTCCTTTTCCCCTCACTCGGGTCTCTCTCTAATGCCTTAGTCACACACACACTACCCCAAAGATGGCTGTGGCGCCCTCTCTGCTTCCACTAGAGAATTCCACGGGCTTTGTTCTGGTCTTAAGGATGAAACCGAGAGGATTCCAAGCCATGTGAAAACTGTCCTGCTTTCTGGAGAGCGGAATGTGGCCCTGCAACATCAGAAGCACAATCGGTTACTAAGTTTTTAGAAGCCCTGTCTACTCACATCAGAGAAATGGCGGCTTCTAGGAATTAGAGCGTGACTTTGTAACACAGAGCATGTTAGATTCTGGGAAACTGTATTTTGGTTTCCTGAACACTTTAACTATGTAGGGCTTCTTCCCCGCCCCCGCCCCCTCCCCCATGCCCCAAATCCCATTGTCCCTTTCAATGAAAAAAGGTGGACACTCGGGGAGCTGTTTCCTGGCCCCGCTGGACTGTATGGTGTCCTCACTTTCCCATCCATACAGGCGGTTCCAGTGGGCTTTTTTTTTTTTTCATGAAGCAATATAAATATAAAATACTTATTTTTTCAGAATTTAATAGGTCTCATGAAATCTGTTGGCAACTGCTTTCCTTGTTCCCCATCTAAATTCCTTGTTTGTGTTTTGGATTATTTTTGCCTTTTATCCGGAGGACTAAAGATTAGCACAGACATTCTGATGTTAAGTAAAATAGTATGTCACAGTAGGTGGTGTAATGGTCTTGGTTTTCTCTGTTAGTAAGTTGTAAAAGAATGTATGAAGATAGTCTTGAATGTACAGTGTTGAATCCTGCTTCAGTTCATGTGGCCATGTCTGTTTGATGACAAATGTTTGTCAGGGAATAAGTGTCTCTTGTCATTAGCGCTCAGTGCCCTCCCCCTTCAGTGTTGAGCCCCAAACCTTCCTTTCTATTTAAGTGAGGGAGTGAGGGGTTCATATCAGCAGCAATCATCAACCAACCAATGGGATCTACCTAGTGGTGACTGGATTTGGCCTGATCACACCACAGCGTGGCCACTTGGGTTCTTGTAGAGATTGCCTCAGTTTCTACCATTCCCCTAGCGATTGCCTCTTTCCTGATCCAGAGGGACCTGGAGACTCCTGGTTGCAGGTCACTGGGTCATTCTGAGGTGGGGGTGAGAGCCCAGGGGCGGCTACTGCTGTGGGAAGTCCTTGCCTCTGGTAGATCCAGCCTTAATGTCTGACATCCCAGGAAGAGCAGACCCTGCACACGTGGGTATCAGTCACTACTGTGAGGAGTAAATAACGAGAACAGTTTAACCAAAGAGAATGAGGTACCACGTCATGTCTGCCTGTTACATTGATTTGAGTGCACCCTTAGAAAACTGAATGTAACACAAACCCAGGACATTTTTTGGAAATTGTATGCTCTCTAGCAACTTTGTGTGAATTTTTATACAAGCACTGTTTTATTAATTATATAAAATATAAAAATAGAAAAAACTCTGGTCTCTTAACAGTTCATTTCTTTAGAGTGTGTCTAAATCTGTCAGCCTGTCTGTGTACCTTCCTCCCAGTCCCAAGGGAGAACATGTGTGTTTGGGAACTACAGTGTTTGGGAAAGGTTTCTATTTGACCACTGGGGTGTGACAGAACTCACTAGATAAATCCTCCAGTCCTACTGTGCACCGAGGGCTAAAGGAGACACTCCTCATCTGACCGTTCTTGCCTCCCTGGCCTCGTGCCAGCCCTGCCTACAGCAGCTTTGACCTTCTAACAGGGTCTTAGGTACCACATGCTGACACAGCAGAGGGTGAACTTGTAGGTCACTCCCCTTTGACCCCAGATTTTCTACCTTGTTATATGGGATGTAGTTTCTCAAAGCTAACCTGGTAACAAAAAGATGTCTGTTACTCCCCTTTGGCTGATGGAAAAAAAAAAAACAAAAAAAAAAAACAAAAAAACCTCAGTAACCTTTTAGAAATTAGCAGTTGAGAGTTCAGTTCCCAGCAACCACATGGTGGCTCAGGATCATCTATAATGTGATCTGATGCCCTCTTCTGGCATTCGGGTGTACATGCAGACAGCACTCATACAAAAAATAAATTTAAAGAGAAATTCACATGTATCAGGTTGGAAGAGGGGTCTTTATTGTTGAAGCTGCAAACTGTTCTCAAGGAGCTAGAGAGATGGCTCAGAGCTTAGGAGCACTTGCTGCTCATCCAGAGGACCCAGGTTCAAGCCCCAACACCCACATGGCTACTCAAGCCATCTGTAATTCCAGTTCCTGGGGATCCAGGATCCTCTTCTGACCTTGGCTACTGGGAACATGGGAGGTGCACAGACTTAGGTGTAATCAAGATACGCACACTAAAAATAATGAGGCATGTGCTCTGTCATGCCGGGGGGTTGGGGAAACAGCCTCAGTTCAGAAAGGTTATCTTGACAGGTGGTTAGAGGCAGGTGTTCATATACTTGAGAATCATGATGGCTTTGGGAGCTTTGGGGTTTTTGTTGCTAGAGGAAGTTCATCCATTCGGCAGATGTCTTGGGAGAGCCAGAGCTACTGGGCCTGTCCCCTAACTGACTAGCTCTGCCCCCAAAGGTTACTAGTTAAGCAGCCAGCCCATTTCGGCCTGGTGGAAAGACCCTGGTAGTTACCGACCCAGAGCCTGACAGGTCTTGCCTGAAGCTGAAGCGCAAGATGTGCTTTGGTATGACCAGACTGGGCGACTGGAGAAGACAGCCAAGCCAGTGCAGGTAAAGAAGGTGGGCCCTGGCCTGAGGCACAACTGCAGGACCCTCCTGGTTCTCCCAGGCTGAAATGATGTCGGTGAGCATGCTGTGAGAACCGACAGGGGTTCTGCTTGTCCTCTTTCTGCTGCGAGGCGTAAGGGGTTCCCATCTCTGGTTTTGACAAGCTGAAATCTTAGCTCTGGTGCTGTTAAGCATCTGAAGAGATACACACTTCAGTATGCATAAGGCCTGTGGCCACTGGTTAATACTGATGGCGTTGCTCAAAGTTGGCTGCTACATTTCAGCCTTTGATTGCTCCACTTCAGAATCAAGAACCAAGGGATTTTCCCTGTGATCCCAAAGCATTTGTTTTGTCCTTTCTTCTTTCCTTCCTTCCTTCCTTCCTTCCTTCCTTCCTTCCTTCCTTCCTCTTTTCCTTTTTTTTTTTTTTTTTTTTTGTGCCAACGAGTCTTGCCACCTCAGGCCTTGGCTTCATACTTGCGGGTTCAGCCTCTCCTTCCACAGCTTCTCTTCGTGTTTGCTGAGCCAGCAGCACATGGCTCCAGGCTTCTTGGGTCACAGGTCCAGAGGCTTGTACTTCTTGCCCTTGGAGAATTTCCTGAGGTTTTCTCTTTGAGTCTGGTTAATAGCAGTGAGGACTCTGGCGATGGATTTGCGGAAGACTTGTATCTTGGAGAGCTTGGTCGAGGTGAGGCTGTGACCTTGGCGACTCAAAGCCGGGACAGATCGTCCAGTTGTTTCCGCAGCTCCTCCTTCTTACTGAGTGAAAGAGGGTACAAAAGGAACCACGTGCCTCTGAGAGTGAGCTGGTGAAATGCGGTAGATTTCACCGCATTGGGGGCGGCGGGACAAAGTGATGGGTTAGATGGACTGTGCTGTGAACGGAGCTTAAGACACACCAAGGGAAAGAAAACAGTAATGAGATATATACTAAAGCTTTTATGAGACTCCTTTAAGCAAAACAGAGAAATACATTTCACAAAAAAAGAAAATGCATACAGGTAAAATGGTACCATTAAACACAAGCAAAATGATTGCCCAAGTTGGAGAGGAAGACGTGGAAATGAGGATCAGAGCACTCGGAAGGGGTGAGGGGTCCTCAGAAGAGCTGGGGGAGGAAACAGTGCTTCCTAACGAAAACTTCTCATGGGCGTTGGTAAGTGCTGAACAGCCGCCACTCTGAGGGGAATAACAAACCCTGATCTGCAGTGTTTGCTGGGATCCAAAAGCTACGCCGGGGCTGGTTGGAGCTAGAGAGCTAGCTATGTGACTCAGAAGCAGTTTGGAGTCCGCTTTTCTGGGGGTGTGATGTTCTATTGCTGCTTCCTGGAGACCACCATGCAGCTGGGAATTCTCTGAGCCAACCAACCGCCAAAGAGCCAAGGTAAGGCAGACTTCCTGCCCCTTGCTCAGTACACATTATGTGCCCTTTAGGTAAGTTCATGAACACCGGTTCAACTGAAATTTCTTTTCATTTCTTGAAAAATAGGTTTTCCAGCATGGTGATGCATGTTTTTAATCCCAGCAGAGATTCTAATCCTCCCAGTTGGAAGGCAGAGGCAGATAGATCTTTGTGAGTTCAAGGCTGGCTTTGTCCACATAGCAAGCTCCAGTCCATTTACAGCTCAGGACTTTATAATGAAATCCTGTCTCACAAGAACAAACAATAGTAGAGGCTGGAGAGATGACTCAGTGGTTTAGAGCGCTGGCTGCTCTTTCATAGTACCCAGTTTCGATTCCCAGCTCTACAAAGTGAGTCCAGGACAGCCAAGTCTACATGGAGAAACCCTGTCTCAAAAAAATAAAAAAAAGAAAAAGAAAAAGAAAAAAGAAAGAAAGAAAGAAAGAAAGAAAGAAAAAGAAAAAAGAAAAGAAATATAGAACAGGGGTTTCCTACCTCAGCACTGCTCTTGGACCATCTTTTGCTGTTGGGCTTGCTTGGACATTATGGGATGTCTCCTTTCTTCGTGTTCCCAGCAGCCTGTCCATCATGACAACTTAAAATACCAGTTATTGCAAAGTGCCCCCCGGGGGGAGTGGGCAAGTCTCCTCCAGCTGAGAACCACTGCATATGTCCAGAGGTTGTTTTTGATCAAGTCATGATGTTGGTACATGGGGGTGCCTTGGCAGGACCACATTAAAAGGCAGGTGCTGATGTCATTCAGCTTCAGTAATGAGTGGGTTGCTCTTAAGTCTCTGCTAGTCTTCATGACTATGTTCCAATCCCTAGCACCGCAGGTAACTCTTGGGAGATCAGTCTTTTGCCACATGCTATGAACAAACTAACATTCTCGGTGATCGGATGTCTTATTTTTTTTAAGTTATTTTAACTATGTGTCTTTTTACAGGGAATCTAGTGCCCACAGTGACATTAGATTCCACCGAAGCTGGAGTTACAGGCAGTTTTGAGCCATCTAATAAGGATGCTGGGAACTGAATTTAGGTCCTCCTTGAGAGTACTTCAGGGTTTTAACCACTGAGTTGTCTCTCTGGCCCTGAGTTTGATTTTTGTTGTTTTGTTTCGAGATAGGGTCTCACTATGTAGCTTTGGCTGTTCTGGAACTCACTATGTAGACCAGGCTGGGCTTGATCCACCTACCTCCGCCTCCTGAGTGCTGGGATTATAAGCATAAGCCACTAGGCCCAGCCCTCAGTTTTCTTTTTAAAATAGGTGGGGATGGATTTGACCCGCTAAGCAGTTAAGTGAGGTGTGAATTACTAATGACCTTTCACATTGTCTTCTCCGTGCCAGCTATGGTGGCACACACCTGTAGTATGTTACATACTGGGGCCTTAAAAACAAACAAACAAAAAAAAAACAAGCTGAAGGCTTTTCCTGTTCTGACTTTGTCCTGTGATGCAGAGGTAAAGCTATGGTCACAGCTCACCTGGATTATGTGACTTCACTACCCAAGGCTTCTCAAGTACAAAGAGAAGCTGAGGAAGAGGGAGGAGATGGATGGGAGGAGCCGAAGTATGGACATATAACTAAATTAGAACTTGTTGCTACCTCACATGGGAATTAAACATACTGTGTTTTCACTGATGACTCAGAAGAGCCAAAATAACAAGTGATGAAAACAGAAATTCTATGTTGTATTTTTACACAGTGTTTATTATTTCTTTTAGAGTTTAAGTTTTTCAAACATGTTAATTTAAAACAAAACCCAAAATATTTTTTGAGACAAGGTCTTTTTTTGGGTAGCCCTGGCTTGCCTTGAACTCACACAAATCCAGCTTCCTTTGCCTCCCAAGATTGGAATTATATTTATGCAAAAACCACCTAGGCATCTCTCTGGCCCTTGAGAGCTTAAATTTTCAAATTAAGCTCAATATTCCTGGATTCTCCAAAACAGGGTGGTGAAAAAGTTTAGACTCCTGGACCCCAATTTAACCGCTTTGGGTTCTAGCTCTCTTCACGCCCAGACTACCCACGTCTCAGGAAGTTGTGGAGGGCAAACAAGGGCCCACCCAGCATGCACCGGCCCAAGTGTGCATTCCCATACATGTACTGTACATGTGCGCTCAGTTCTTTATGTAGGGTTAGTCCTTTGTGTAACACTTTCATGAGAGACAGAACAGCTGTTCTTTGATAAAACCCGTGTTAGTTCCTATTTCTGCCTGAAACTAAACCATTTTATTTTTTTTGAGCAAGGGGTTAAAATGTTTTCTGTAAGGGGTCAGACAGTAAACACTTTAGACTTCCTAGGTCATAGAAACTGTCTTACATGTGTGTATGAAGATATACAAGTGTGTACATACATAGACATATGAAAGAACATTGAGAAAAATTTTAAGCTAAAAATTGTATTTTACACATTTTTATCTGCATGTCTGTGAGCCACATACATGTCTGGTACCCACAGTCCTAGCGTTAAGTCCCCTAGGACTGCAGTTCCCAGCCCCATGTGGGTGCTGGGAATTCCCTGAGTCCTTTGCAAGAGCAGCCAGAGTTCCGAACATTAAAGTGTTAAAACCGTTGTTAGCTTGAGGGCTATTAAGAAGTCAACCTCTGGCTACCTTGGTTTATCTAGCGGCCCTAAGAAATCATTCCAAATGGATTCTAAGTAGCCCACTTGGGATTAGGGGACCAACTTCACTTTCTGGACTGCTGAAGGCAAACCAAAAAGAATCAAGACTAGGGTTTAACAAGACAAATGCTAGAAGGTTCTCCCAAAGATTATCTTGTCATTATCTGAAAGGCAATTTTTAACTCTGCTGGCTTTGGCCAGAAGCCTGAATGTGAGAAACTCAAGTCCCTAAACTGGGGAAAATATTTTAATGTACACTAAGCAGCCAGGCATGGTGTTAAATGTCTGCTTTATAATTGTCACTCTTGAGAGAAGTAGGAGGATCAGCAATTTGAGGCCAGCCTGGGCTATCTGGGGACTCAAGAAAGCAAGCCAGCCAGGTGTGAGGTGGCACTTGTCTTTAATCCTAGAGGTCAGAAGGCAGGGACAGGTGGGTCTTGGCAATTTTAAGGCTATTGAGGGTTTCACATAAAGACCCTGTGTGGTGCCTGAATAGGTTTAACCCCCATAGCCTCCTGTGACTGAGTACTTGGTTATAGGGCGTGTCACTATTAGAAGGCGTAGCCTCGCTGGAGGAAGTGTGTCACTGCATGTAAGTGTGTGTGTGTGTGGGGTGAGATTTCCTATGCTCAAGCTCTGCCCAGTGTGGCTGACAGTCTTCTGCTGTCAAGATGTAGAACTCTCAGCGTCTTCTCCCTCAGCCCGTCTGCTTGCACGCTGCCATGCTTCCATCATAACGGACTAAACCTCGGAAACTGTAAGCCAGCCACAATTACGTGTTTTCCTTTATAAGCGTTTCCATGGTCGTGGTGTTTCTTCACAGCAACAGAACCCTAACTAAAACACAGTGTCTAACAAGATAAATACCAACAGTAAAACAAAACAAAACAAACCCAAGGCCAGTTTATTTTACAGTGACTCCTGAGGCAGTTACCGTGGGAAATGCAGTACCGTCCTCTGGCCTGGGCTCCTCCAGCAGTGGTCTGCACAGGACAAGGGGGCTCTCAGGAAGCCAGGCCTGAGGGAGCCCAGCCCAGCCCAGCCGAGGAGGAAAACCCACAGATCCCGGCAGCCACAAAACGCTCCAGTGATTCCACAAATGACACGAGAACTTTATTTCAGTAAGAATGTCTTTTTATGCTGCCCCTTGACAACCAGGAGGCAGCCTGTGGGTAGAAGCGAGTTTATTTAGTCTTCTTCGGCAGCTTCAAGCTCTTCCACCGTCGCAACAGCACTCGGTACTTGTTGCTTTCCGTCTTCTCTTCGTAGACGGCTTTTAGGAGGATGCGCATTGCCACCTCTGTCCCTGTCTCTTTGCTCTCTCCTACGATGAGATCCAGTGTATCTCCCACCTTCACCTGGGAACGAAGGAAAACAACCTTTACTCCGTCTGGGAAGCCTCGGCCAATTCATACAGCCCTGCTTTGTTTTAATGTGGTAGCTGCCACACAGGAAGAGCAAGAGAGAAGAGCCCCGACTCCTTTGAAACTGGCACTAGTTCCGAGTCACACTGCAGCGTGGGCACATAGGAGGCAGCCACAAGCACAGGGGCTTGATGGCAGCCGGTAGCTTCCTTCTGACAGAGATTACTGGCCTGCCTATGGATGACCTAGGTTGGGAAGGTCATCAGTCAGGGAACTGAAGGAGTATCAGAACGAACCTGTCTGCCTGGGAAACATTGGTAAAACGCAGAACAGTGGGGCACAGCCTTAGCAAGGATGTGCAAAAGGAAGTACTAGGTGCACCAGGAAGAAAATTGGCCCTGATATTTAACCCAGATGACCCATCTAAAAGGGGATGGGACAGTTGGTTAGACATCAGTCACCACGGAGCAATGGTTGGCTACCCGTGAGAGAGACCTCAGCCCACAAGGATGGACAGCACGAAGAGGAAGTGTCAGCTAGAGGGGCTGAGGCCAAACCAGTCTTATAGAGGACTTGTGGCTAGAGCTTGCTAACCCACACCCTGGAGCAGCTCTGCTTCGGCCAGGGCTCAGCGGCAAGGGCTGTCTGTGTGGGGTGCTTGGGGACCACCTGGCTGATACCTGGTCCAAGAAGCTCAGGATGTTAGAGAATCTAGCCAAGAATTTTGCCTACACGTATGTCTGTGCCGTATGAATGCCTTGTGCCCTTGGAAGTCAGACAGAATGGACCCCTTGGAACTGGAGTTACTGGCAGTTATTAATTTTGGGGTGTGGGGCACAGGTGTGTGCCAAGGCCTGTGTGGAGGATAACTCTGTGGAAATGGTTCTCTCCCTCACATGCAGGTTCCAGGATACAGCTCAGGTTATCAGGGGTGGCAGCAAGCACTGCTGCCTCCTGCGCCATCTTCCCAGCCCCCAAATGTACTGAAGCTGGATGTGACTGCTCATGCTCGTAACCCCAGCTGAGGCAGGATTGCTGCAAATTTTTAGTGAGATCATATTACACAAAAAGAAGGAGGAAAAAGATGAACTCCAAGAAAGTACATGGGTGACTAGTTGGGAATCAGGGTGGGGTGGGGAATCAGGAGAGAGGATAATGAGAGGTGAATATAATCAAAACACCATATGCACATGTGAAAATGCCATAATGAAATATTACTATGAATAATTAACATGTGCCAATAGAAATGTGTTTTCAAAGGAAGAAAGTCACAACATTTCTTCCCTCCAGGGCTCGAATGTTTCCTTGTGGCTCAGCTGACGCCGGGAAGTGAGTTTAGGACAGCGTCAATCCCCACACTCCAGCTTCTCAGGCCACTGCACTAGAGCAGGGCTACACAGCACTATGGACTCTGGGCCCTGCCTAGTTTGCAGAACACAGAAAAGCTTTGCTCAGCGGCAGGTGGGGAGCTGGGGACTGAGCAGCGGCACCAGACAAGCCAGACCCCCAGGGCCTCTAGCTGGGCACCAGCTCCACGGAGCAGGCTGGGGAAGCAGGCATGATTTAGTCTCGTCCAAGGCCTGGCCCTCTCAGACACAAAGCAAAACTGCCTGGGATTAGTGGCTGTTTCAAATATCTACATTTCAAATCTCCCCTTAGCTGCAGTTTCTATGGCTACCAGGCCTCCTAGTAACCAGGCAGCCGAGTGTTAATACTGGCCTCTGCCTTTGCTGACCCTCAGGAGAAATCTGGAAAGCAGCCGACAACAGAACACCCAAGGCAGAATGAAGCTCAGCAATTAGGGGAAGAAAAACAGGCTTCTGGAGTTTGCAGTGAGGCCCCGGTACAGGGGTGTTCCAGAGGTAATGCAGCAGGGAAGGCAGCCCATCTTTAGTCAAGGCAGCAGAGGGTGGAGACGGCACATCTGCAGCACAGGCTTCCGTGCAGTTCCCTGAATGATGGCTGACAGGTCCTTCTGCACCTGCCAGAGCAAGTGCAGAGCTCCCTGGCCTTGAGCAACAACTGAGACAAGAATGGAGGCCCCTTCCCTTCTTGCTGTCCATGCAGGCAGCAGCAATGGGCTGCCTGATGCCCAGAGGAAAGGACTGAAAGAGTCTCAGTGTTCACCAGGGCACAGATTGATGCTCCACATCCCAAGGCAGCAATGAGGCAGCTCAGACCCCGTCCTCACAGAGACCCCGCCCTCGCAGGCTTCTCCAACATGAAAGGACAAGAAAACCACCCTTAAAACTCTGCCTCTTCGGCCTCTGAAAGCCAAAAGAAAACAGGAAACAACCTTGAAACCTGCCACAGAGGGCCTCTGAAAGCTTCTGCAGTATAGACTGTCAAAGCAGATGCTGAGCCTGATGGCCAACCGATGGGCAGAGTGAATGGAATTTTATGTAAGAAGTGGGAAATAGTAAGAGCTGGAGGGAACGGGAACTCCACAAGGAGAGCAACAGAACAAGATAATTTGAACACAGGGAACTTCCCAGAAAATCATACTCCAACCAAGGACTATTCGTGGAGATGACCTGGAACCCCTGCACAGGTGTAGCCCATGGCAGTTCAGTGTCCAAGTGGGTTACATAGTAATGGGAAGAGGGACTGCCTCTGACATAATCTGATTGGCCTGCTCGTTGATCACTTCCCCTTGAGGGGGGAGCAGCCTTACCAGGCCACAGTAGAGGACAATGCAGCCACTTTTGATGAGAACTGATAGACTAAGATCAGAAAGAAGAGGAGAACCTCCCCTATCAGTGGACTTGGGGAGTGGCATGCATGCAGAAAGGGGAGGGAGGGTGGGATCGGCAGGGGAGGAGGGAGGGGCTTATGGGGGGATACAAAATGAATAAAGTGTAATTAATAAAAAATTAAAAAAAAAAACAACTCTGCCTCTTCATTAACTCCTCAGTGCTAATGGGTTATGTTTCTAAGCACCAGCCTTAGGTTTTAAGCACTGACCACCCCCCACCAAAAAAAAAAAAAAAAAAAAAAAAAAAAAAAAAAAAAAAAAAAAAAAAGGTATCATGTGTCCTACGATGGCCTCAAACTCCTTCTGTACAGGGGAGTGACCTTGAACTTCTGACCCTCCTGCCTGCTTGGGGTTAAAGTTTCTGTGATGACGAGGGGCCGAGGCCACGGCTTCTTTCACATAGCAGGCAAGTACTCTAGCACCTGAGCAATGTCCCTAGTCCTGCTTTCATACTTTTAATTAAAGATTTCCTATTTCTTCTTTATTGAGTTTTGTTAAGTGATCATCTCATGGTTAAAAAACATGGTAGACCATCCTTTAATCCCATCATTCAGGAGGCAGAGGCAGGTAGATCTGAGTTTAGGCCAGCTTGGTCTACAGAAGGTATCCCTGGCCAGCCAGGGCTACATAGTGAGACCCTGTCTCAAACAAACCAAAACTCATTATCTATATCTCAGAGGGAGGGTGAGATGACTCAGCACTTGTAGCAACGCCTGATGACCTGGATGCCTGAAATCAATATGGAGGGAGGAAAGAATCCATTCCTTCAAATTGTCCTTTAACCTCCACACCCACGCCATGACATAATGCCCCACATTCCCCACCCCCAACTAAATGCATTTTTTTAAAGCCAGAAAGTAAAAGGCATGAAGAGAATTAACAGAGAACTGGCGCTGGTTGGCGGTGGCTCACACCTTTATTCCCAGCACACTGGAGGCAGAGGCAGGCAGATCTGTAAGTTTGGGGCCAGCCTGCTCTACAGAGCGAGTTCTAGGACAGCCAGGGCTACACACAGAGAAACCTTGTGTGTGGGGTGGGTGGGTGTGGAAACCAAAACAACAATGACAAGAACAGGAGAGCTGGAGAGCTGGTCAGCAGCTAGCAGCACGTGTTGCGCTTGCAGAGGCTTGGGTTTGCTTCCTAGTACTCGCACAGTGGCTCCCAGCCACCTGGAATTCCAGTTCTGGGAGACCCGATATAACACACATCATGCACATACCTGTATGCAGGCAAAAACTCATATACATAAATTTAAAAAAAATCAAAATATAAAAGGCATGAAGAGCAGCGGGGCGGTGGTGCACGCCTGTAATCCCAGCACTCAGGAGACAGAGGCAGGCAGATCTCTGTGAGTTCAAGGCCGGCCTGGTCTATAAAGTCCAGGACAACCAAGGCTATACAGAGAAACCCTGTCTCAAAGAAACAAAACAAAAACCCAAAACAAAAAAAAGAAAAATACCAAACAAACAAACAAACAAAAAAACAACCAAACAAAAAGGCATGAGGAAAATTAATACAGGGGCTGGAGGCTGAGGGACCGGGCTTGTTTCCAGCAGGCACTGGCTCACAACCACTTGCAACTCTAGTACCAGGGATCTTCTAACCTCCATAGAACTGTATGCATATGGTGCACGCAGCAAAATACTCATACTCATATTATTAATATTTGTTGTAATACTAAAATAGATTCAAAACTTAATATATCCCATGATAATCTAAGAAATAAATACAAATAATATTTAATTCAGAATATATGTAGCAGACGCAAGCATGTGCATATATTGTTAGTTTGTTGACAGGTGGTCTTGGCTAGCCTGGAACTAGACAAGCAGACAACTAGACAACTAGACAAGGCTGGCTGAGTCTGTGCCAGTCTTCCTGACTCTGCTTCCATGGTATGTGTGTGCCTCTGCATACATATATGAATATGTTATTTTGGAGACAGGGTCTCATGTAGCCCAGTCTGGCCCAGCACTCCTGAGTCCCCTTTCTTCATTTCCCTTGTGCTGGTTTACATATGTGCACAAAGAATACTTTTCAACATATGAGTGTGAGAAAGACAGAGAGACAGACTTGTTGCAAAGCAGATATTGGAAGTACATTCTCTTATGAATCGGGGCTTTTGTTTAGTTGGCTTGGTTTTTTTGAGATAAGGTCTCACTGTGTGGCCCCGGCTAACCTCATGATGTTCTGGCCCCAGCCTTACCAGCTCTGTGATGACAAGAACTCAACATCGCTCCTGACTTTTTAGTTTAGTGGTGCTGATAGGGAGTTGTCGAAAATACGGAACAAGATGCCAGATGTGGTGAGACCCTGCTGTGATCCCAGCACTCAAGAGGCAGAGGCAGGCAGAGCTTTGTGAGTTTGAGGCCGGCCTGCTCTACAAAGTGATGCCAGGACTGCCAAAGCTACACAGAGAAACCCTGTCTCAAGAAAAAAAAAAAAAAAAAGAAAATACAGAACATCTTTTTGCCCATCACGAAGCAGAGTCCCAGCAAGAACTTGTGCTGAGGTGAACAGAATTAAACACCTGCTCAGTCAAGCCTTTCTTTGCCATCTACCTGCCATGACTCCGTTGGAGCTAATGTTGATCCACTAGAAGTCTGAGTAAGGGTGGCCGCCACTCCTGAGGGCAGCTGGTTCCAAAGTTTCCTTACTCATAAGGTCAGGGAGGCTGAGAAGAGACAGTGGCCCATAAATGAGTCCCACCGGCATGAGCAGGACTGAGGAGGACCTTAGAGAAGGCGCGAAGGCCCACGGGGGAGCTGGAGCAGTGCTGACTAGCAGAGCAACAGACATGTGGCTGTCATTACAGGCTGAAGGGCTCACCGTTCTGCTTTTCTTCCATAATTTCTCCCCATTCAGTCTGAGTTCACCTTTGTAGAATGCGTCTTCTATTTTGCTATTAAAAAAGAAAAAAAAAAAGACTTGAAATGTAAATGCACTAAACAATTATATAGCTTTGAGCAAGAGTGGCTGATAGAATCTACTCATTCAGTGAGTACCCAAAACAAAAACAAAAACAAAAACAAAACAACCAGACAACCCTGCACTTTGAGGGAAAGTTTTGAGACACAGAGTGAAAGTGGCTGTCGCCTACAGTGTCTCAACCAGGGAGACCAAAGGGCGTTTCAGAGTCCGAAAGGCTGGCAGCTGCTCAGGATGGGGTTTAGAAACACCTGCATGGCTGTAGCTCAGGCAGCTACAACGGTGAGAATGAGTGGGAGCTTCCTGCCCCTCAGCTACCTGCTCTGCACTGAGAAAAAGCAGGCTCAGCACACGTGGAGCGGCCGTTAAGGAATGGCCTGTGTGCACTGAGGGTAATTCCGCTCTGACAGCGTTCATCTCTGACTTTAAACCCCTTGGGACCAGACCAGAGCTCCACACAGATGCCACCTTTCCTTCCGGTGACCTGACTGCAGATGACTGACGTTGGGCTCGGTTTAATAAAGGCAGCAGCCTTGACTCGGGGACAGACAGGAGGCCCTAGAGGAGTTGGCCAGATGAGGCAACAACCAGCAATCTTGAGCAGGATGCCAGAAGGAGGGCCTACAGTCTTTTATGTTCCATGGATGTAAACAAATTAAAATACGCAATTAACTATGTCATAAAGATAAAAATCATGTAAGAAAACCTCACTGAATTTTTCTAACACAGCTCAATGGTCTTATTTTTTCGGCGTTCCAGACAGGGTTTCTCTGTATGAGGCCCACTGCCTCTGTCCCGTTCTTCTCTGTACACATACCATCAATGACTGCTAGAAGAGCGAGCAGGCATTAGGCCACTGCCAGAACACAACAGCTAGCAGAGAGAACACATGCACTAAAAACGTCTCAAAACTTGCTCTCGGACCTCTGTGCCCTGCATGTGACAGCTCGTAACCGCTTAAGCACAGGGCCTGCTCCACCAAGCCAGTTACACTGCTCTGCGCCGGCCTCGATACCAACCACGTGCTCACACCTGCAATCCCAGCACTTGGGAGGCTGATGCAGGAGGATTTCAGTGAGCTTGAGGCCAGCATGGGCTATAGAGTGATAATGTGGCCATAAAAGGTAAAACAGGGGGGCTCTGAGATGAAACACACAAAGCTGCCAGGACAGAACCAACTCCACAAAGCCGTCTTCTGAGTCTCTGCTTGTCATGCACAGACACTTAGTACATTTTAAAAAAGGAACCAAAAAAACAAAAGAAAACAAAACTCAAAACAAGAACTAGCCATTACCTTCTACAGTAGCTTCGCAGTCCTATTTTACAGCGGGGGAGACAGCATTTTGGTGACGTGCATAAGGTCACTTACTAGGAGTCTGAAATGCTACTGGTTTGGCCTGAGAACTCCCATTTTGTTTCTTGAGACAACCCCTCAAAATGAAACTTAGGTTGCTTCTAACTCAGTCTCCTGGCTCAGCCTCTCGGGTGCTTGGACTGCAGACATGCACAGCACCTTAGCTCAAGAACGCGAGGGAATGCATCCCACAGCGAGTTTGTGGAGGGCAAAGAGCAATCTCAGGAACCACTTCTCTCCTGCTCCCTTCTGAGATCAGAGGCTAGCACTCAGGTTGGCATGGCTACATGCCAGCACCTTTCCCCACTGAGCCACCCAGAACCTGCATTTTTTTTTTTAATTGTTGTGTGTGTATATGTGTATGAGTGAATGGCCGTGGTACATGCGAACCACAGCACGTGTGTCTGTGGACAATTTATGGGGGTCAGTTCTTAACTTACACTCTGTGGGTCTCCGGGAACTGAACTCAGGTCGTCAGGCTTGATGACAAGTGCTCCTACCTCCTGAGCTAACATTCTAGTCCCAGAACCTGTGGTTTGGTTTGGTTTTTTCCTCCTGAGACAGGGTTTCTTTGTGTAGCCTATCCTGGAACAAGTTCTGGAGACCAGGCTGGCCTTGACCTCAGAGATCCACCTGCCTCTGCCTTAAAAGTGCTGGGATTAAAGGCGTGTGCCACCATTGCTAGACTGGGGCCTGCATTCACCTATTTCTCTTATTGATTCTGGCATGTACTTTCTCATATCACAGTATACAGAATATTCCAGGTTTTTTTTTTTTTTTTTTTTTTTTTTTTTTTGGTAGTTACTTTTTTTCTCTACTACAACTTCTTTCTCTTTAAGAGGTTGTTCTTAGAGATAGAGGCATGGCTCGGTGGTAGAACACTCGCCTGCCATGTACAAAGCTCTGGGTTTGGTGCCCAACACTGTGGAGAAAAAGCAGAAATGAGTCATTAAAGTCAATGACTCACAGCACACCAACCGTGTGACGGGACCAAGGATAGGACTTAAGGGCAGTCTCCCAGCTTTCTTGTCTGTAAAGTGACGTTCCTGGGATAGGTTAGCTGTCCCCGCACCAGAGGCTGCGCGGCTCGTAATGCACCATTACACTAAGCAGACTCTCAGGGAGGCACGCCCCATACTCACTTTCTCCCGACATCCAGGCCCGACTTCAGGATGACATCGTAACGGAAAGACTGTACGACTTTCTCCAGGTCTTTGTAGTCCTTGACCACCCCGGGCTCCTCCTCGAGTTCCTCTTCCTGCTCGCTCCTCTCGGGGTCCTCATCGGAGTCCTCGTCATCGGCAGCTTTTTGCAGAGTCTTTTTAGTGGATTTCTTGGAGCTTATATTGCTTTTGAATCGTATGGAAAATGGAAAAATATACTCTGGAGATACTAACAGCCCTGGGAGTCGCAGAGAGAAAATGTTACGGAAAAGTGTTTTATAATTTGATGGGCTTAGCTTGGTACTAGAGAAATACAAGTATCGATTCCAGGAAGCACAGGGCTTGTGTGAGGACGTCCCGTGAAGCACGCCCCATAGTCCGATCCAGGCATCTGGCTTTCTGAGAGCACCCGTGAGCGCTCTGACCGCAGACGCAGCCATGCTGCCCACGACCTCACGACCTGCAACGGGAAGCGGCGGAGTGTTACGTCACGGGGCAAGCGCTGCACACGGTGCTTGGCAGAGGGGCATCAGCACTGTGTTCCCACTGCCTGGCGCCAGGCTCAGGGGCCCCGCCGCCTTCGTTGATCTTTTGTTTTGTTTCTCTGTGTGGCTTGGCTGTCCTAGACTCACGTTGTAGACCAGGCTGGCCTTGAACTCACAGAGATCTACCTGCCTCTGCCTCCCTGAGTGCTGGGATCACAGGAGAGCACCACCACAACCGGCTCATTTCTTTTATTTCAAGGTTACACTTTAGGACTGATTTCTTTGATAATCAACATCATGATTTTCCTTCCTAATTAACATTTCCAAAGCTGACAGCAACTGTCTCTGCAGCTCACAGAAAACTCACAGAAGCCACTATTTCCAATCTGCGGTTAAGATTTGGAAGAATAAGCAACCAGGACAGGCTCAACTCTAATTCTGCCATTCTTGGAATCCCACCTTAAATCCTAAATGACAAGAAGCAGGGGACATTTCAGAGCTCATGGGGCTCTTGTCTTTTTATGTACTGCCGAAGAAACAAGGAAGCGGAACCAGTCGGGTTTCGTTTTTTGAAAATTTCTTTTCCTAGCTCTATTTACGAGTATAAGTGTGTTGTCTGTGTGTCTGTGTGTGCGCCCGATCCCTCAGGAGTCAGTAGAGGCTGTTAACTACCATGTACATGCTGGGACCCCAACCCTGGTCCTCTGCAGGATCAAAAAGTATTCTTTAAAGCCGAGCCAACACTTTGGCCCCATTAATACAAGAAAAAAAGAGAAAAAGATTAAAAAAGAAAAAAGGTATTATGTTATGTATACGTCTGTTTTGCTTGCATGCATGTCTGTACCAAGGGCATGCCTGGCTCCTGTGGCAGTCAGGTCACTGTTACATCCCCGGACCTGGAACTGACAGACTGTAAGCCAGTGTGTGGGTGCTGGGGATCGAACCCTGACTCTGTAAGGTCAACAATGCTCCTTTTCTCACTCTTTTCAGGTTTTTTTTTTTTTTTTTTTCAGACAGGGTTTCTCTATGTAACAGACCAGTCTTGGTTTTGAACTCACAGAGATCCTCCTGTCTTTTAAGTGCTGAGATAAAGGCATGGCCACCACACCTGACTCTTGTTTTGGTGTTGGAAACAGGGCCTCACACTGCAGCCCAGGCTCATCTGGAATTCACTACATAGGGCAGATTTGCCTCCAGCTGATGAGTGATCCTCTCGCCTCAGCTGCAAAGTGCTCAGAGTACAGGCATGCCACCATGATGGGCAGGAAACTATATTTCAGTGTATTCCAGTTTAATAGAGACCTAACTTTATAACTTTAATTTTATAGAATTAGGAAAAAGAAAGAAAATGGGGCATATCTGTGCTGGGGATGTGGTCCAGGTGTAGACTGTTTCCCTAGCATTGCAGAATAATGGAAAAGAAAACAGCGTATTTTAGATCTAGATGCTGTAATCCACGGTCTTTAAGCAGAAGGCTTAAAGGGCATGGGAGTGGGATGAACTGCCACTTCAACTTAGAAGACATACCAACAGCGCCTGGGCCAGGGAGAGGGAGCAGGAGTCTTGGTGTTAGTCCCTGGGGCTCCACATTCTTCATCCTAAGTTCCAGCTTAGGCCCAGATGAGATGGCTCAGCAGTTAAGGGTACCTCCAACTCAGCCTGAGTTCCATCAGCAGAACCCACACACACAATGGAAGCAGAGAAGTGAGTCCTGCAAACTGTCCTTAGTCCTCTCCACAGACGTCTATGCACAAACACTATGTGCGTTAAAAAGCCTGCTGCCGTATCCTTCTAGGAATATCTGGATATGTTTCTTTCTGTGCCCGGCATTGGCAGCATTTTTGTTTGTTTGTTTGTTTGTTTGTTTTTTAAGACAGGGTTTCTCTGTGTAGCCTTGGCTGCCCTGGACTGGCTTTGTAAAGCAGGCTGGCTCACTGACAGCATTTTTAAAGATTAGTTTACTTTGCTTTTATTTGTGTGGGTGATGCCATTATGTGTGTTGGTGCCCTGTGTACCTTCAGCACCCAGATCTCACAAGTGGTTGCTGCTGGAATCACAAATGATTGTGAACCACCATGTGGGTGCTGGGAATTGAACTCGGGGTCTCTAAAAGAGCAGCCACTGCTCTTATGCATTGAGCCATCTCTCCAGCCCCACAGGCAGCAGATTTACCCTAGCTGAAGATACCAACTTAAATCATGTTCATGTGTAAGTACAACAAATGTTTCAAAGTATCAAATGTTACCTTTATTAGCTACTCACTCCCTCTCTGAGATCTTTCAACTCCCGGAAGCAGGCAAACATCCCAAGAAACCCATACAATTCTAGTTTTTGCTAGAAACGGTGACCATTTATAGATGTCAGCAGTGAACATGCCTCAAGGGAGGAACCTGAGAGTGCAGACCTGGTCAGCAAAGCTCTCAGTAGTGTGCATGGTATCTGAAAAGGTGACTGAGCAGGTTTCTGAGCTTTTTTTTTCTTTTGAGACAGGTTTCTCTGTATAACCACTCTAGCTGTCCTAGAACTTTGCAGATCAGAATGGCCTCGAACTCACAGAACTCCTGCCTCTGTCTCCAGACTGCTTGGGAACATGTATGTAATTCAACACTTTTCGAACAGAGGATCAGGAGTTCAAGGTCAGTCTAGGATACAAAACAAACAAACCAAAACAAAGATCCAAACAAAAACAAGCTGGAGCAGAAGGCACACGCCAGCAATCTTGGCACTTAGCAGACAAAGACAGAAGGACAGAAGGACTGCTGAGTCCAGGCCTCGCTGGCCTGCAGGTCAGCCAGGGAGATACAGGTAGGAAAGCCTACCTCAACAGGTAAACAAAACAAACTAGGGCTAGGGAGGTGGTGCAGGGCTAACCCTGCTTGCTTTGAGTCCACACCCCCACCATGGCAAAGGCTGGGCGCCGCTCTGCATGCCTACAATCCAAACTTTGGGGAAAAAAAACATTTGGAGAGGTCACTAGCCAGCTGGCCGGTCTAGTCATGAAGGTGAACTTCCAGTTCAGTGAAAGACCAAACTCAAAAAAGGTAGAGAGTGATAGACACCTGATGACCTGACTTAGCTTCTTTCCTTTCTCTCTCTCACAAAAACTGAGAAGACTCTATGACTAAAACGTTTCTTTCATTTGGTATGGCCTCCTGCCTGTCCCAACTCCTCTGACATCTCCTACCATTTGTCCCTTTCCAGATTCTGGTAACACAAATATGTCCTTTACCATTCCTGTGGTCCCTCCCCCACCTTTTCTTTTTTGAGACAGGGTTTCTCTGTGTAGCCGTGGCTGTCCTGGACTCACTTTGTAGACCAGGCTGGCCTCAAACTCACAGAGATCCACCTGCCTCTGCCTCCCAGAGTGCTGGGATCACAGGCATGTGCCACTGTGCCAAGCTCCTATGGTCCCTTTTTGAGATAAGATTTCATGTACTCCAGACTGCTTCAAACTCACCATGTAGTAAAGGCTTCCCTTGAACCTTATTTTTGCCCCTTTGAACTTCTTTCTGCACCAGCCTCTAAAGTACTGGAATTACAGGCATGGATTACTACACTTGGCTTCTGTGGTTTTAGATCCTTCCAAATTCCAGACGTGCACACCTGTGCACTCAGCACAGAGGACTGCTGGCCCGGCCCGCTGCCAAGCGTGTGCTGACCCGTGTCTGCAATCTTGAGTTCCCCACACCCCCCTCCCCAGATGCAGGAGTGACTCGCTGTATTAAAACTGTAATCTGACTCTCATGCCAACACCTAACCGTTCTCTCAGAAGCCTGCCCTGAGTGGTTGTGGGGGAATTACATGCTTCGTTGTTGGCACCACTCAAACTTGTAGATAGCACCTCGCCTGGCTTTCTTCACTTTCCCGGGGTCTCTCCCCTTTCCTTGCTTTGCTTCACAAACCCAGCCTATAATAAACCACAGCCACAGGTATGGCTGTGTGCCGAGGTCTAGGTATCTCTATAAATCAACAGACACAATGTCCAACTAAATGTCACACAACCACACTAGTGACTAAAAGGCACCTCACAGGAAGCCCAGAACAAACCCCTGATCTCAAACCTGCTCCACCAGGAGCCTTTATCTTAGTTACTGTAACAGCATCTGTGGTTTAGAACAGAAGGGAGTGGTCTTTCTTTTCTTTTCTTCTTTCTTTCCTTCCTTCCTTTCTTTCCCTCCCTCCCTTTCTTAATTTACAACCCTCTTGCCTGAGGCTCCCACATACTGGGATTAGAAGTCCTCCCACGTCCAACTTCTAATGAGTTTGCCCCTCATTGATACACTCTCAGGTAGACTGGCCTTGGACTCTCTAGACTGGCCTCCAATTCTCTAGATTGGCCTCCGATTCTTCTGCTGCCACCTCCCAAGTGCTGTTGACTGTGGAGTGCAGGTGTCTACTCCTGGACAGTTTGTTTATTTGTGTCAATTACTATTGTATACGTGTATACGCGTGCACATAACCTGTAGAAGTCAGGGTGAGCACGACATAACATGCATGTGGAGGGCAGATGACAGCCTTCAGGAGTCAGGACTCTCCTTCCACCTTTCTTTTGAGTCTCTCTGTCTCCCCTTCCTAGTTTCTGCTACATTGTATATCAAGGCTAATTTTCTTGTCTCTGTCTTTCATCTTGGCAACAGAGTACTGGGATTACAGATACACACCACAAATCTGGCCTTTCTGCAGGGTTTCAGGGAATGAATACAGGTCTTAAGGCTCGGCACAATGAAAGTTGAGGCTAGCATGAACTATAAGGCAAGACTGTCTATAAAACCAACCCCTCCAAAGCACTCAAAAGAAAAGACCTCTCTGGGCCTGGACACCTACCTGGACCACAGTGTGTTCAAGGTCAGCCTGGGTAACCTATTGAGAGCCTGTCTCCAAATTAAGAGAGGTAAGGAAAGTGTTATTGTAAATCTCCTCAAAAAGCCCATGGCTGGGATGGTCTTGTTGTTTTGCTACATGGGTAAGGTGTCAAGCTGTCTTCTAAATCACTTATACCCAGAAATTATTCGGAAAAGCTTTTTTTTTTTCTTTTTGTAGTGAGCATCAGTTAAGGTAGAAACTGTTAACGTGTAAGATTAAGTGCCTGTTATCTGCTCAGCCCCGAATGAGACATTTACACCATACCCCCTCATACCAAACCAACCCTAAACCAACCCTAAACATGGATAAGCATCTGTCTTACTCCCTCAGCCTCAGCTCCTGCTACACCGACTGCCGTGTTCATGCTCCTCACACACTAGGGACTATTTTCGGCATGCTTTCCATGGCTACAACTGAATTACAGAGCCTAGGCAATTTATAAAGAATAGACGTTTTATTTACCTCATGGCTCTACAGTCTGGGAAACTCAAGTATTCCCCCGACTCAAAAAAAAAAAAAAAAAAAAACCAAAATGAAATAAAACAACAACAAAAAACCCAACCCTTCTTTCCCTTTGGCACACTTTAGAAGCAGACATCTGCTGAAAGGCCTTATTACATCACAAGGTGGAAGGTATCCTGGGAAGAAAGGGTAAGCATGCCAGGTTGAGCTTGTTTTCACAACAAAGCCACATACTCCCTTAATAACCACTAATCCCTGAACAGGGCTGTCCATCCACCAGGAAGACTTTCATGACCCGGCTCCTTCTAACGGTACTGCACCAAATTCCCAACACGTGAAACATTCTGTCCAACCAGGGACTTCGTTCCAGTTGGGCCTACAACTCTCTCACCTCGGGATCTGCGGGGGAACTCACTTTCAAGTCTAGACTCAACTATCTCCCCAGTGGGGAGATTCCAGCTCCATGCCATTTTGCAAACCAATCTCTCTTACTATACTCGCCCCGCTCGCAGAGCTCTTATCACAGGCTGCCCCATCATTTCCTGGACGTTGCTTGTCCGCATGTGCACACGCCGGCTCAAGACCAGACCAGAATTCTTCTCCGTCCCCATTTTATTTTCTTTCACTTTACCTCAAGTACAAGGCGTAGTGCCGGGTAATTAACTAAGAAACTTGTGGAAGCTGGGGACAGTGGTGCAAGCCTGTAATTTAAGCATCTGGGAAAGAGGCAGGAGCTCAGGAGTTCAAGGACAACCACTACAAAATGAGTACGGTACCAGCCTATCGTACACGGGATAGTCCTCATACAAACAAACAAACGAGGCAAGCTTGGAGGACCAGAGGACTGCTGCGGGAGAATGAGCTCAGAAAAGCACACACTGTATCTGGACTGACACTACATCCCCCAAAGTCTTACATACCCAAGTTTGGTCGTGACCTGGACAGCAAGAGAGATACAGCTTTAGTGGGAAAGGGACCCGGCAAGATCTCCTTGGCGGCAGTTTGCGCTAGAGAGGACTAGGAGAGAAAGCCCTTAAAGGCTCGTTCCGGGTGAGATTTTTTTTTTTTTTTTTTTTAGAAAGCCATACAATCTGCTAACGAAGGCCAAGACTTCCGGGAGAGCAGCGTTTGATGTACAAAGGCAACGCTGCCCTTGACCGCACGACGCTGGGAGGAGCGGATCCGCGTCCCCCAGCTTGTCACGGCTTCGGTGAAGACCCGGGCCTGGCCTCCAGTGTCTGAGGTCTACTGCAGCTACGAAACCCTTCCCTTCGGCGGTGTGACATGTGGGCTAAGGTCGAGTTCCCCTGGAGCCCCCCCCCCGAACTCCCCATGTCCCCCAAGGTTAAAGGAAACTGGACACTCCCACGCCGCCCGGCCTCGGGTGTGTGTGTCTGCGGCCAAGCCCCGGGACGCACAGCCCGGGCTGGCTCGGTTCCCACGGTCCCGGGGTTCGCGAGGCGTCCCGAGGCGGGCCCGACGGACCCGCACGACGCGCTAGCAGATTCGGCCGGGGCGCTGCGCCCGGCGAGGGGCTGGGCCGGCGGGCCAGTAGGGGCGCACTCACCTGCGCAGTCCGCCGGTCCCTCCCCGGACCCCGAGGACCGCAGGCGGGGGAACCTCCTCCGCCCCTGACACGCCCCTTCCGCCCAAACCCACGTGGCAAGAGTGAATCCCGAGGCGTAAGCGAGCACGGTGGCCTCGTGACAGCGACCCCTGCTGGACTCGGCGCCTTGGACGACTGCGCTGTTGGAGATTGGGGTGTGGGGATGTGGGGTGGGGAGGAGAGGCGCCGTGGGAGGCCTGCAGAGCTCTGCAGACAGTTGCGGAAGAACTTGGCTTGAAAGCCGAGGTTCTTTCTCTGGAATAGCCAAACCTTTTGACGTCTTTGCGAACGATAGCTGCTGTCTCCGGAAAACTGTACCCCAACATTAGGATATCAGTCTAGAACGTCTTTTCAAGTTCCAACCCAGTAGGCCTGTAATCCCAGTACTTGGGAGATGTAGGTAGGAAAGTCAGGGCTTCAAAGATTTTCTTGGGTACAGGACTATAAAGTTCTAGGCCAGGCCGAGCTACAAACAAATAAATACAAATAGGAATAAAACACCTCAAGCTGGAGTGTTCCTATCATTGGGGAAGTGGCGGCAGGATGATCAAGCTGCTAGACTTGCCTTGGCTACTACAAAGCAAGTTCGAGGCCAGCCTGGGTTACATGAAACCCTGTCTCAAGAAAACCAACCCCTGACCTCCCACAGAATCAACAAAGTCACACCTTTCTGCCCAGTTTTCTTGTGGTTCCAGAAGTGACTGGACAGGGTCAGGAGTCTAGAAGAATATGGCTTAGCGTGATCGGTGGATTCAGCCCTCTAGGAGGCAATGGAATACAGCCCAGAAACTAAAGTACAGTCTGTTTAGCAAGCGTTTAAGCATGTCTTCTTTTCTTCCTCCTCCTCCTCCTCCTCCTCCTCCTCCTCCTCCTCCTCCTCCTCCTCCTCCTCCTCCTCCTCCTCCTCCTCCTTCGATTTAATTAATTTTGTGTGGATGAATGTTTTGCCTGCACGTATGCGTGTGCCATGTGCCTAGCGCCTAATGAAGCCATAAGAGGGCATTGGATCTCCTGGGACTGGAGTTACACGTGTTTGTGAGCCACCTCTGGAAGAGCAGCTAGCTCCCCTTTAGCTGCTGAGCCACTTCTCCAGCCTCAAGTTTAGACACGTTTACGTTAATGTTTGTGGAGATATATACTCTATTAAATGAGAAATGGCCTTGTTTAATGTTTTTCAGCAGCTTTCCTTCCACCTCTGCTTGCCAGCTCTGCCCCCCTCCTTTTCCTTGATACTGCTTTTCTCCTAACTTCACTCAGTGGTTTCTTAGTTGTATTTTGTGTTAGAGGAAACAGCAATTACAAATTGTTTCAAGTACTATAATGATACATTTACACTGTTGACATTGTGAGGGATACACAGTTGCGTTTACTTGTTGGGTAAGAGCTGCCATAATGTTGGACCTGGGGAACTCAGGTCCTTAGGCTTGGCAGAAAAAGCCTTTAACGCTGAGCTGGCTCACCAACCCTTAGGTAAAAGTTTTTGTTAGTTTGTTTGTCTGCTTTGTTTTTTGAGACAGGGTTTCTCTGTGTAGCCTTGGCTGTCCTGGACTCACTCTGTGGACCAGGCTGGCCTTGAACTCACAGAGATCTGCCTGCCTCTGCCTCCCGGAATGCTGGGATTACACGTTTGTGACACTGTGCCCAGCTCAGGTGAAATTTTAATTAATTAATGAGAGAGACAAAGAGAGAGAGAGACAGACACAGAGAGAGACAGACAGAGAAAAAGAGACAGAGAGAGAGAGAGAGACAGTGTGTGTGTGTGTGTGTGTGTGTGCGTGTGTGTGCGCGAAGGTCAGAGAGCAACTTGTAGGAGTGAGTTCTCTCTTTCCACCATGTAGGTCCTACTGATCAAACAGGTTGTCAGGTCTGGCAGCAAGTGCTTTTACCCACTGAACCGTCTCACTGGGAGGAAACCTTTTTTAAAACGACATATAGAGGGCCTGGAGAGATGGCTTAGTGGTTAAGAGTACTATTCCAGAGGACACGGATTTTATTCCCAGCACCCGCATGGTACCCACCCATCTACAGCACCAGTTCCAAGAGACCAATCCCTCTTCTGGCCTTTGAGGGCACCAGGCACGTAAGTGGCTCACAGATATATATGCAGGCAAAATGCACATCTGGATACACTTTTATTTTATCAATTCTTTAGGTATTGCCAAAACACTTGATCATAGTAACTAGTAATTCTGTAGGAAGGAAAAAAAATGGTAAATTACAAAAGCCCTTATATGTGTCATTTAAAAAGACTATTTATTTGCTGGGCATGGTAACCCCTGCCTTTAATCGCCATGCTTGGGAGGCAAACAGATCTCTGTGAGTTGGAGGCGAGCCTGGTTTACAAAAAGAGTCCAGGATAGCCAAAAAACAACAAAACATATTTTGTTGTCTCAAAATATGTCTCAAAAAACAACAAAACATATTTTTGTGTGTTCAAATATTATATCATATAGCCCAGACTGCTCTTGAGCAACTTTATCCTCCTCCCTCCAGCTCCTGAGGTCTTTGATTATAGGCCTTTGCCATCACACTTGGCCAGTAGGTTTTCATTTAAGATATACATGAAAGCCTGGAGGTGTAGCTCAGTAGTAGGGTTCATACATAGTGTATGTGTGGTCCTGGGGTACTGCCAATAAATAAACAAACAAACAAACAAATAAAGCCTAAAGCTGGGCATAACTCATGCCTGAAATTACATCACTTGGGAAGTGAGACAGTTGAATCTATGAGAATTTGGGACCAGTTTAGGCAACAGAGCGGGGCTAGCCTGCACTACAAAGACACTGTCTCAAAAAGCAAAACAGGGTCTTACAGTATGGCTCAATTGGTAGAGTGTCTAGCATGAACAAGACCCTGATTTGAGTCCCAGCACCATGTAAGTTAGACATTGCCACAACCTGCAAGCCTTAGGGGATGATATGACTGTGGAAGTGGTGAATGAAACACACACACACACACACACACACACACACACACACACACACACACACACACAAGCTGGGAATGTGATCCCTGATGGAGAAGCCTGGAAACTCAACAAAAGAGGAGGAGTCAGGCTGGCTAATCTATAGGGGAGTTGCAGTCAGTTGGAGGAGGAAGCTGAAGTCAATAGTTTCTGAATAAATGTCAACATCCAGGTCATGAAAGCTTGGGTCGACATTTCTGGACACACTGATTTTACCTAGAGGCGAGCCATTTGTTGACTTCTATACTCAGATCAAGGGAAGGCTTTGTCAACATCTGAAGGGCTGGGGTCTTTGATGTGGCCACGATCCTGCCAACAGTCCACATTTGCTCAGGACTTCTCTTGCTCCCCGTAGAGTTTTGGGGTGTACACCTATAATCTGTAATCCTGAATTTGTGAAGTAGAAGCAGGAGGATCAGAGGTTCAAGGTCATCCTCAAGGTCAACACAGTTCTGGTGCCCTTGCTGAGTGTCACCCAATCGTGTAACTACTAAGCTGGAAATTCCTGGTCCTTGCTCAAATCCCAATAACCCCCTCCCGCGCCCCTCCAAACTTGGGGCTTTATACTTGAGAACCACTTCATTGGTGATGGTGTGGGCCAAAGCTGAGCTTGTATCATTTGTATCAGAATCGGCTCCTTGGTGATCTTTGGGGTCCACCAGACTTGGGCATAACAGCAACAGGCAATCAGGCATGGGCTCTGGAGCTATGAACGCACATCCTGATCCACAAACACAAAGAGAGAGGGGAAAGAGAGAGAGAGAGAAAAAGAGTTAACTGGGAATGGCTTCAGTCTTTTGTTTGTTTGTTTGTTTGTTTGGTTAGTTAGTTATTCTTTTGGTTTTTTGAGAGAGGGTCTCTCTGTGTAGGGTTGGCTGTCCTGGAACTCACTTTGTAGACCAGGCTGACCTCAAATTCAGAGAGACCCACCTGCTTTTGCTTCCTGAGTGCTGGGATTAAAGGTGTGTGCCACTGTCTGGCAGCATGAGCCTTTAAATACCTCAGAGCCCATACCTGGTAACACACCTCCTCCGACGAGGCCATACCCCCTGATCCTTCCGAAATAGTTCCACCAACTGGGGAATGAGAATTCAAACAGATGAGCCTATGGGGACCATTCTCACTCAAGCTTCCACAGAGAAAATACTGGAGGTTGAAAGATTTAAGTGGGGATGAGAGAACCGAGTAGATGAAAGGGTCTATTAAAACTAGGGATTGGGCTGGAGAGATGGCTCAGAGGTTAAAATCTAGTCTTCCAAAGGTCCTGAGTTCAATTCCCAGCAACCACATGGTGGCTCAGAACCATCTACAATGAGATCTTGTGCCCTCTTCTTGCCTTCAGGCACACATGAAAGTGGAATTCTATATACCAAATAAATAAATCTTTAAAAAAAAAAACAAACAACTAGGGATGTATGAAAAAGCCAAAAGGAAACTCTTGGTAAACAAATTAAGATATAAAGGAGTTGGAATAGAGCTACCC